AGTTTTATGATTCTCAAAGATATCAGACCTCAGTTTGTTAAGTAGATTGCTGCTGGCATCAGTATCTAAAAGTCAAGTGATTTATATAGAAACGGTGTCGTGCCGATTTGAACTGCCTGCAATTTTTGTTAAGTGAACACAGTCTCGTCTTTGGTGAAGAGACGTTTTCTTTAACAGTATTAATGATTTGGAAAATGAAGCTCATCAACAGCCACTTTCATGTTGTATGTACATTTCACAGAATATATATGATTTTTGGGCGAGGCAGTGAGAAGCTCCACCGAGAGGTACTCTTGTGTGTATGTGATGCATCTGGTATATCTTATTTGTGACGAGGATGTAGATGTTATTAATCTATGAATTTAGTAACAAAAACAGTGTAGTTTATTAGACTGTGATAGGATTGTCGTATTGCTTTTTTATAGTGAAAGAAATATTACTATCTATAAATCATAGAAACAGTTTACTATATGAAATAAACTGATACTATAAATAGTGACGTCATCTGTACTACGATGTCTCACTTATTTGCCTTGCAATGTGGCGTCTGTTGAATTACGATGTCTTTTCAAAGATACATTGCTGGATTTTTCGATGAAAGAAATTGAATTTCTAATGTTTGGATGTGCAAACTGATGGAACAGTTACTGCATATCGTGACTACAGTGAAAATGAAATTATGTGGAGTAAATCTGTTGAAGTCTGTGACGAGGACTATTAAGAATAATCTGGTATTTTCAATATGCAACAGAAACACGGAAAATAGCTTGTTTGTAACTCAACTGGAAATTGTGAATGAATGATTTACCCGAGTTTGTAAATTGTACTTTCAGTGGCTGTAATCGGGAAATAAGCTCTGCTTTGATGAGGTCAAAATTTTTCGGCCCACATGAAACTGACTGACCTTTGACCGGGCGGACTGACCAGGTCATCTTTTCGTATCGCGACCTTGGTGTTTCTCTAGGAAACCCAGACAGGAGTTGCTCTTTCCTTCCTTCATCATCATCATCTCCTCCTCCCCCATCCCCTCCCCTTCCCCCTCCTCCTTCTCCTCCCTCTCCTCCTCCCTATCCTCCTCCTCCCTCTACTCCTCCTCTTCCCTCTCCTCCTCTTCCTCTTCCTCCTCCTCTTCTTCTTCTATTACTACTAGTACTTCTCCGACTGCTGCTATCACTGTACTATAACTTCTTCATTTCGACACATTCTTTTACCTCTTCTTCCTTTTCTCCTTTTAACCAAAGATATTTTGGTGTGTGAAATACATAGTTTAGGATAAGTTGCACATCATTAACTAACAGTAGTATTAGGATAGCTGGGCAGCCTCCAGAGATCCCTCTTAAAATGACTCGTTCTATATAAAAAGATGAGATATATATGTTACTGTTTTATCTAACTTTTATTTTTGATCCAGTTGTGGTTTTAATATTTTTCTATATAGGATTTTGCTGATGCAGAAAATGCAAAATGAACATTCACTTGAAAAGGTATTTTACATACAATTAATGTTTGTTATATATTGTTTGTTATATAGTTTAATCTCTTTCATGGTTGTGCGCTTCATCTAATAGTTTATATGTAAGTGAGATCAGAGAAACATTTTTGACCAGAACTCTCTCTGAGAATTTTATGAACTTCAAGTCTGAAGAACTCAGCATTAGCTCTAACACTGCTTAGCCTTCAGTTTTCATGATGTTTTCTTTGTCTGATATAGCTATATTTCGACATGCATCATGACGCAGTATGTGACGTAGATTGATGACCGTAGACCGGCGTGTGTACGAGAGCCGCACGCCATGTAACACCATGTATCATTGCGTGACAATTACAGGCCGACTTTGTACCGCAGGTAGTGCGCCTTGGGCGACCCTTCACCCAGGTAAACTGAACTGATCTGCCTCAAGTAAAATTTTGACGGAACTGAATTCCATAGTGTAGCCCTCGGTAAAATGTGGCATGATGACAGGATTATATCATTATTTAGATTATTAAAAATACTACGGATTTGGAGGTCATGGATTTCTCACTATGTCCACTGTGTCATTAGGGTGAAACTTTTTTTTATTTGATTTATGGTAATAACTAAAGCTCAGTTGACTGTATAGAAATGCATATTCTATTTATATACTCTAATTCTGAATGCCGATTTCTTAATGCCTATCTAGATTAAAACCATACCAATTCCATCAGATACAATAGTTTGCTACATCATGCAGTTAGTGGTAAACCTTCCTACTGTGTTTTAGTGAACTAAAATAGGTGATGATCTAGCTTATACTATGGCCATGCAGTATTACCTACAGTATTCAACAATATTAAAAGTTATAACTGAAAAAAACTACGCTGGGCTGAATTTCAGTAACTTGTAATCTTGACTTCAGTTCATCTGACTCCTGACTTGACTTACAAACTCACCTATAGACAGATTCCAGAACTCACTGGTTGAATGACCGATATTTCTATCAAAAACTGACTCGAGGACCAACCCGAGAATTGACGTCAATACGACAACAACAGAGAACATACACTGTGCTATGGGCGGACAATGGACACAATTCGGTTGCCTGCGGTAGTATCTGAGGGTTTAACTGACAGAAAAATGTCAAGAGTAGTTATGATATTTGTAAATGCTCTGAAAAAAAGACGAATGAAGTCAGTCCCTGATACGGCCTCCGCTTGCCCAGTGACATCCTGGGGACATGGACTTCAAGGGTCACTAAAAAAAGTGAAAAATAAGTACTTTCCCAGAGATATATGTTTGTATGTATATACAGCTCTGCATAATTAATATAATCCGCAGACACATGACGATTAGAAGAATCAAAAGAGAATCAACTCTGAGGCGTACGTTACTGTTTGTTTGTTTGTTTGGTCCTTGAATGTATCCCCGTCCCCGTGTACTGTTGACTTGGTTTCATTAATGTTCATGCTGTTCGTATGAACTATCTGGGTCAGGTAATGAAGATATAGATGAAATAAAAATAATCAAGAAACTCTATGCGCTACTGGAGCCATATTGAAAAAAAAACTTTAGTCGAGATCGAGCTTTCTGATTGGTTTAGGCTGAGATTGGATAACCAATCAGCAAGCTTAATCTGCATTTCAGACTGCTAATATTCTTTAAACTCAGTATTTGTCTGAAATATCTTACTATTCTTGCCCTGTTATACTGTTAACAGTTTATATAACATTACATTTATTTTTGTAGGAAACTTATCGTTCTCGTGTTCTGTAGTTCGTTTCCCTTAAGCACTGATCAGATGGAGAATTCGTCATCTGGCCCTAATCACACAGGGTAAACAATAAGCTATTTGATAAACTAAGATTCGTCAGTATAATGAAGAATTCTCGTCGATCATTATTTAAGCCACCAAACAATTATTCTGATGATATACACAAATGTGAATATTTCATATAGATATATACATGATATACATATAAAAACGTATACATAAACACATATACACATGCACACACACATGCACACACACATTCATGCACACACACACACACAC